GGACAAAACCTAAGCACACAGAGGAGAATATGGCCCAGGGAGTGGTGCTACGACACCGCAATCCCAAAACGTCTGTGGTGTAGGCGCGGTCGCAGGATGGAGGGGTCACTTTGGAGTTCCAGTGCTGGAACTAACATGGGTGTAAACCCTGTCTTCTTTTTTAAAATGTATAAAAAGGCCAGGTCACTAGTCGGGCGTCACGTTGCGCCCTGTATATCCAGCACTTTGGGAAGCTGAGTGAGGATCACTTCCAGAAGGTCAGGGTTCGAGGACGCGTAGGCCTGTCTACATGCCGTAAAACCCTGCTGTCTACTTAAAAAGATGACAAAAATTAGTTGGGCTGTGGTGGTGCCGTACTGTAATCACAGTACTCGGAGGCTGAGGCAGTTGTGTTTGTGAGAATACTTGAAAACTGCGAGACGGTGGAGGGGCAGTTTGAGCTGAGATCAGCGTCCACTGCACTCTTAGTTTTTCTAGTTTGAGTGTTTTGAAGTATCATTTTTCCCCTCAGTTTATCACAAAGCCTGCTGGCTACTGACAAGTAGGGAGTGGCCCATAGGTCTAAGGAAGGTGAATAAGGGAGTCCCAGCCTCGGGCAGCCTTTGGTGCAGGGTGTCTTAACTTCAGTTTTGGGGGCTGGACTATTCTTTATGGTGAGGGGCCACCCTGGGCACTGAAGGGTGTTTGAGCGGCCTCCCTGGCCTCCACCCACCAGTTGCTTCCAGAGGTGATAACCTGAAGTGTCTCCCGTGTTGCTGAGTATCCCCTGGGTGTCAGAGTTGCTCCGGTTGAGAACACGAGTCTAAAGGGGAAAGACATACACAGGCCATGGTGTGTGGCCAGTGACGACCCAGGGAACTTGTAGGAAGGAACCGCTTCTTACTGGAGCCTCACCTCGGCCTCCTGAGTCAGCATCATCTCCTGTCGGGTAATTCAGGCCTTGGTTGTAATGTCACCTCCACAGAGAACCCCCCTAGTCCCTACCCTGTGTCATTCTTACGCCACCCTGGGTTATATATTTCAAAACGGCTAGGAAAAAAAGTTCGAAATCCATTGTTTCTTGTTGATTTTCCTTCCTTGGTAGATGGTGAGTCCTTAAGGTGAGGTGGGCCCCTCCATTGTCTTGTTCATGACCGTATCCACCTTCTGGAACATTGCCAGGGGGCAGTGCATGGTGCGGGAATGAGAAAATGGATGTTGGTGGGAACGCGGCCGCTCTCAGCTAGCAGGCCCTCTTCAGGGCAGACCCTGCCTCATGGAAGATGACAACCGGCTTGGACAGAGACAGAGATAACCCCTTAACGTGCAGCTCCTAACATAAACAGCCCTTCGACTTTCAAAGGGAGCCCCCTGCCTACTGTCTGGGGGAAGTCCCGCTAGTTGTCAACAAGTCAGTTCTTGTGTTTGTATATTCTTGGCTCTTGGAGCAGGCGGTGACCCCTTCTCCGATCCAGGCCCTGGAGTTTATTGAGGGCTCTGCGAGTCAGGCCCTGGGGTTTATTCAGAGGCCCTGCCCGCAGAGTTCCAGTACAGTCAAGGTGGGGGTCCGGTGAGAAACAGATGGGCAGATTCAGTCTGTGTGCGGGAGGGAGCAGACAGAGGATGGAGCAGGCCGAGGAAGGGTGGGAGGAGGTGCTGTGGGCAAGACCTGTTTCATGAGGGACTGTTCCTGGTGGGGTGTGATGGCCTGAGGCGTGAGTGAGTGGGTGTGCTTGAGGAACAGCCAAGGAGAACGGCAGGGTCAGGAGCTGAAGGAGAGAAGGGGGAGAGGGAGCCAGGAGCGTGAGAAGTACCGGATGGTTCTGGGAGGCGGTTCTGCTGCTGTGCTGAGAATCAGGGGTCAGGAGGCCCCTGGGAGACCAGGGAGGGGGCCCAAGTGATGGAAATGGAGTGGATGGTGACAAGGACCAGAGAGGGTCCCAAGTGATGGGGACAGAGAGGATGGTGACAAGGACCAGAGACAGTCCCCAAGTGATGAGGACAGAATAGATGGTAACAAGGAGTGGAAAAAGCCCCCGAGTGATGGGGACAGAGGTGGATAGCGATGGGGACAGAGTGGATGGTGACAGGGACCAGAGACAGTCCCCAAGTGATGGGGACTAAGTAGACTGATGGGGACAGAGTGGATGGTAACAAGGACTGGAGAGGGGTCCCCCGAGTGATAGGGACGGAGTGGACCGCGATAAGGACCAGAGAGGTGCCCCGAGTGATGGGGACAGAGTGACTGGTGACAAGGACCAGAGGGGGTTCCCATGTGACGGGGGCAGAGTGGATAATGATATAGATCAGGAGCGGGGGGGTGTCAGTGAGAGTGAGAAGTCTGGGGTGATCCCAGGATGCCTGATTCTCTGGGTAAAAGTGTGGGCCGGTGCTGAGGTACGTAAGGCCGGGGCAGTTGGGGGGCTGCTGTGTGTCTGTGAGGTGCCTGCCATTTGAGGCTCTGGTAATCAGTACCCAGGTGGGGCTGTGTGTGGATGCTCAGATGGATGTGTCGGCCACGCAGGATGGTTTGTCATGGTGCGGGAGGCAGTTCAAACTCTGCCTGATGAGGCCGGCAGGGCACGGGGAGAAAGGAGGTGCCAGAAGAGAGAGAGAAAGCTGGGCTTGTGCTGGGTGGTTTAGAGCAGCACAGTCGGCACATGGCGGCTTGGCGGCCAAAGCCAGCCTGGCTCAGCGTGATTGGTTGTGATTTTTACAGTTTCAAAGGATTAAATTTTTAAAACTATTTCATATTGTGATACTATTCACATAACATAAAATTCATCATCATCAGTTTAAGATGTTAGTATATTCACAATACTGTGCAACCATCACTACTAATTCCAGAACATTAACGTCACCCCAAGATCAAACCCTGACCCTCCTAATTCTCTCCCCTTTGCCCCTGGCCACCATGAGTCTGCTTCCTATCTCTATGGATTTGCCTGTTCTGGACATTTCATATCAGTGGGGTCATACACCGTGTGGCCGTTGGTGTCTGGCTTGTCATGTCACTCAGCATCGTGTTTTCCGGGGTCATTCACATCGGAGCCAGTATCAGTGCTTCCTTCCTCAAGACTGAATCATTCTCCAGTGTGTGGCGGTACCACATTTCGCGTGCCCACTCATCTGTTGATGGATGTTTGGCCTATTTCCACCTTTCGGCTGTTGTGCATAGTGCTGCAGCGAACATTCATATGTGAGGATGTGTTGGAACACCTGTTTTTCTTTTTTTTTGAGACAGGGTCTCGCTGTGTCACCCAGGCCGGAGTACAGTGGCGGGGTCTTAACTCACTGCAACCTCTGCCTCCCAGGTTCAAGGGATTCTCCTGCTTCAGCCTCCCAAGTAGCCAGAATTACAAGCTCCTGCCACCACACCTGGCTAATTTTTTTGTGTTTTTAGTAGAGATGGGGTTTCACTGTGTTGGCCAGGCTGGTCTCGAACTCCTGACCTTGTGATCCGCCCACCTTGGCCTCCCAAAGTGTTGGGATTACAGGCATGAGCCATTGCACCCAGCTCTTTTTTTTTTTTTTTTTTGAGATGGAGTTTTGCTCTTGTTGCCCAGGCTGGAGTACAGTGGTGCATTCTTGGCCTCCTGGGTTCAAGCAGTTCTTCAGCCTCCCAAGTAGCTGAGACTACAGGTGTGCACCACCACACCTGGCTAATGTTTGTATTTTTAGTGAAGACGGGGTTTTGTCATGTTGGCCAGGCTGGTCTCAAACTCCTGACTTCAAATGATCTGTCCACCTCAACCTCCTAAAGTGCTAGAATTACAGGTGTGAGCCACTGCAGCTGGCCTGAGCACCTGTTTTCAGTTCTCTTGGGTATAGACCTGGGAGTGGGATTACTGGGTCATATGGTAGTAATAATTCCATGGTCAACCTGTTGAGGGAACTGCCACACTGTCCCCTGCAGTGGCTGTACCATCCCATCTGGCTCTTTTTGCCAAGCCCTGGTCTAGAGCGTGGTTCCCCATCTTGTCGCAGTGGTATACTTTAGGGGATCAGATGCATGCGGAGCTTGGAAATGCCTCCTTGGAGTGGTGGGGGGCTCGCAGGAAGCCTACAGCTGCCTCTGAAACAGACCTTGGCTCCATGCTGCTTCCCCACATACCCACACCCTGCGCGTTCCAACCCCTTCTGCCGTCAAACCTGTGCACCGTGGAGAAACAGACGCAGCCCCCTGTGAGCCTGAGCAAAGAGAATCCTCGTGGACATCCCCGGAGAATCTTAGAATCCTGCGACTGACTGGGCGCAGTGGTTTACGCCTGTAATCTCAGCACTTTGGAGGCCAAGGTGGGCAGATCACTTGAGGTCAGGAGTTCGAGACCAGCCTGGCCAACATGGTGAAACCCCATCTCTGCTAAAAATACAAAATTTAGCCAGGCGTGGTCGCACAGCACCTGTGATCCCACCTACGCAGGAGAATCACTCGAACCTGGGAGGCAAAGGTTGCAGTGAGCTGGGATCGTGCCACTGCACTCCAGCCTGGGAGACAGAGCAAGACTCCATCTCAAAACAAAAAGAACAAATCCCGCCACCAGGAGAAATTGTTTTAGAATCACGGCTGCTCTGCGTCTTGTATTTCTGCTTTTCTCAGCTGAGACTTTCTAGAATTGTCTCTGTACCCATTGTTCTGGGCAGAATTGTGTCATCCTCGCACCCCACATTCCACCCCAAATTCATGTATTTTAGCCCTGGCCCCCAGCACCTCAGAACGTGACTGTATTTGGAGATGGAGCCTTTGAAGAGGTGATTTAAATGAGGCCATTAGGGTGGGCCCTAATCCAGTCTGATTGGTGTTATAAGAAGAGGAGATTGGAACACACATCAGGGACATGCGTGCACAGAGAGACGACCACATGAGGACACAGACAGTGGCCGTCCGCAAGCCAAGGAGGGAGGCCTCAGAAAACCAAACCTCCTGGCACCTTGACCTTGGCCTCCTGGCCTCCAGAACTGAGAACTACTGACTTCTGTTGCTTCAGCCAGTCTGGGCTACCTCATTGTGGCAGCCTGAGCTGATGAATGCACTCACCCCACTGATGGTGCCTGTGCCCGGCAGAGGTACCTGTTTCAGTACAAGACAGCAGTGGTGTGCCTGGCCTTGCCTGTCCCAGTAGATCCTCAGGGTCAGCGTTTGGGTCACATGCAGTGTTGGGCACCGCAGGGCAGCGGAAACAGTGAAGTCTGTGTGTCCCTTCATCCATTCACTTTATCATCCCCAACGGGGTGAAGCCCACTCTGTTCCTCATACTGTTTCAGGCACTGAGGATACAGCCCTGATCAAAACCCCCACCCTCGTGGAGTCCACCATCTAGTCAGGGACTGACAGACAATACAATGAGTAAAACACATGATCCGTAAGGTAGCGACAGGGGCCACGGAGAAAAACGCAGGAGTGCTGGGAGGTGGCGTCATTTTACTTTGGTGAAAGAGCGTTCTCTGGGACTCACCACGCAGGGGTTGTCCAAGCAAAAACCTCAGCCAGGCTGGAGGAATCCTGACTGGCTGGAGACCCAGCCCTTGTGTGCTGGGGATAGTGCAGCATAATTCTGGTTTAGAAACAACAGCTCCTCCTTTGGGGGCGTGGTCCTGTCCCACCACGACATAGGAGGGAGGCAAGCTTGTTTCTATTTTTGCTCATATCGGCTGCAAAGTACATGCATAGAGGGCATTCTTGGTGGGTGTTTAGGGCCTGTCTTTTCTCCCAAGCAACCGATGCACCTCGTTGCGATTGGCCTGGGGCTTAGCACCAAAAATGTCATGTCCCTTGAAGTCCCCAATCACTTGGATGGTGGGTCACCTCCAACCTCCAGCGTCCCCACCTTATGTATCCTACCTTGGCATCACTGTTGGCAGCAGGTGCCTTCCCACGTGAAGGCAATCTTGCTGAAACAGATTGCAGAAGGCGTGGGAGACTTCTCTATTATACGCAGCCTAGCACTTGGCACCACAGAGGCTTCAACATCCACTTTGTACATTTCTCCTGAATGTGAAGTTTTCCAAATGGAAGGTGCTCATTGAGCTTGTAGTGTTCTTTGAGTAGATGGGTAAGGATCGGGCGGAGGGGAACTGGGGAGACTCACCTGCGCACCCCGCCCTGCTTGCCTCCGGGCTCTCAGAAGTAACCTTTCCCTGTCTCTAATAAAACCTGGCTCCGTGCTGAGTTTTTTCCGTTCCTGTGCAGACAGTGGCTGGGCCTGGCGTTTTTCACAGTCTGTTTCCGGCGTTGGGCCTGGCAGTAACTCATTGTCGCCTTGTCAGGAGAATTCGCACAACCACGGGGACGGTGCAGAGGACTTCAAGCAGCAGGTGCCATATAAAGAGGACAAACCCCAGGTACCCCTGGAGTCCGATTCCGTGGAATTCAACAACGCCATCAGCTATGTGAATAAGATTAAGACCCGCTTCCTAGACCACCCGGAAATCTACAGGTCGTTCCTGGAGATCCTGCACACATACCAGGTAAGAGCTCAGATTACAATTCCTTGTGGGTTTTGGATTTCATCCAGTTTGAGGCCCTGCAGATATCTGACAGATTTTCCTGTCAGAATTCATAAAATCCTGTGAAATTCTAATTAGTTGTGGGCTTTTTTGTTTGTTTTTTCTTAGACAGAGTCTGGCTCTGTTGCCCAGGCTGGAGTGTAGTGGCACAGACTCGGCTCACTGCAGCCTCTACCTCCTGGGCTCAAGCCATCCTCCATCCTCAGCCTCCCAAGTAGCGGAGGCTACTTGGGGCTAGAACATGGGCGCGCGTCACCACACCTAGCTAACTTTTGTATTTTCTGTGGAGACAGGGTTTTGCCATGTTGCCCAGGCTGGTCACAAACTCCTGAGCTCAGACAGTCCGTCCACCTCAGCCTCCCAAAGTGCTGGGATTACAGGTGAGAGCCACCGTGCCCAGTCATCTTTGTTTGTTTGTTTGTTTGAGACAGGGTCTTGCTCTGTCACCCAGGTTGGAGTGCAGTGGTGTGATAATAGCTCACTGCAGCCTCGACCTCCTGGGCTCAAGCAGTCCTCCTGCCTCAGCCCTCCAAGTAGCTGGGACTACAGGTGTGCATCACCACACCTGGCCAAGACCGTCTTTTTATCAGATGACTTTGTTATTGCTTAGGCAATACGACCACCCTTTACTTTGCTGATGACAACTGGGCTCGGCACCAGGAACTGGGGCTACAGAGACAAATGGCTGCTCCTGCTTAGCTGTTCATTGCAGTGGTGGGAAGAAACTCAGAGGTGGATTGGGGTGGAAAAGAAAGGATGTGGGCAGGAGAGGTGAGTCAGGATTAACATGGTTCCCAGCCCGGTTCCCAGCCCGTCCGGGGCCAGGGAGGGACGGTCAGGTTGAATCTTGACAGATCAGTCGGAACCAGTAGGCAGGTTAGCCTGGAGGAAGGGTGGATGTTCTCGGTGCCAGGAACGGCCTGTGCAGGGGTCCAGGGGCCAGAGCAGACAGCGGCATCAGGGCGTCTGCAGGGGACTTGGGCAGTGCAGGTGGGCTGGTGGCGAGGGACATGTGTATCATGAGTGGGGCTTAGATGTCCCGTTCACCCAGACGTGGAGTCTCTAACACTTGTAAGTGTTTTTAGCAGTAGAACCCATTTTTTTTTCTTTTTTTTAAATGGAGTCTTGCTGTCACCCAGGCTGGAGTGCAGTGGCTCAATCTCAGCTCACTGCAACCTCGGCCTCCTAGATTCAAACGATTCTCCTGCCTCAGCCTCCTGAGCAGCTGGGACTACAGGCCTGGGCCACCACGCCTGGCTAATTAGCAGAAATCTTTTAAAATGAAATCCGGGCAGCCTTGACATGTCGAGTAAAGAAATGGGGTTCTTTTCAGCTTAAGTGTTTAAGATCAGATGGATAGAATTTGCGCGCTGGGAACTCCAAGGCATTTGCTGTCCACCGTGCCAGCGTCATCGTGGGCCTTAGTGTCTGTGAGAGGCTGGTACAGCCCTAAGAACACTTGCTTGTCATGGATGAGTGGTTGCCGGTGGCTGCTGTGAGCGTCTCGTCTGTGTGGAGGGATGTGCTTGTGATCGTAGAATCCATGGGCCCCTCCCAGGCTTCATGGGCTCATCACATTTCAGAAGGCGCAGGAGAGCAGTCTGTGCAGTGGCACGGGAGAGCAGTGACTGTTCTGTGGCACGGGAAGGGGCGGGTTAGAGACGCCAGAGATGCATTTAGATGAGGTCAGTGAGGGGCTGCCACAGACTCCTTCAGAGAGAGTGCCATGGGAAGGACAGTGCACTATCCCCGAACCCAAACCAGGCTGCTGGGAGTTGGTTGAGAATGCAGACACCTGGGCCGCCATGCAGGATTCCCATTCATCAGGGCCCGCCTGGCATCGGCACAGTTTCGTTGTTTTTTTTTTTTTTTTCGAGACTGGGTCTCACTATTGCCCAGGCTGGAGTGCAGCGGCATCATCACGGCTCACTGCAGCCTCTACTTTTCCGGGCTCAAGCAATCCTCCCACCTCAGCCTCCTAAGTGACCGGGACTACAGGCGCTCACCACCACACCTGGCTAATGTTTATATTTTTTGAGGAGACGGAGTTTCACCATGTTGCCCAGGTGGGTCTTGAACTCCTGGCCTCAAGTGATCTGCCCACCTCGGCCTCCCAAAGTACTGGGATTACAGGCGTGGGCCACCGCACCCAGCTGGATGGTATCTGCATTTTAAACCAGGCCCCTGGTGACTCCAGCCTCAGGTTGTCTGTTTTTTTAAAATATAAGTCTGAATTGTTGTGTAAATTATCCTGGTTTTAGAATGTTGGTTCAGGTATTTCAGGGATACTGTTAGAACCAAACCAGGCAGCTCTAGGGTCCATCTGGCCATGTGTTACTTACTGTTTCTCCATCTTTGTGGGATTTTCCTTCAGACTTTCTCTCTGCCACCTTCTCCCTCGGGGTTCTTATCCATAAAATGGCCACAGAACTGGTGGTGCCAACGAGCCTGGGTTCAGTGAGGTTAACTGAGCAACAAATTCAGGCACAAGCCTGTCTCAGGTCACCCCTTGGTAACTGTCACCCATTATACAGCCACGTACGCATGTCCTGGGGCGAATGGTTGGTCCTACCCTCACATAAGTGGGTCCCTAAAAATGAGCTCACTCTGCACAGTTGCAGAGTGTCATGGGAACTGCAGGGTTCGTGGGGAAACAGACTCAGGGTATGACATTCAAAAACTTCCTCAGTGACACTTAAAAAAAGATAGGCACCGACTCGAAACAGCAGCACCATTGTGTGCGTGTTAAGTGTCTAGGAATTACATGAATGCTACAGCAAATAGGGTACTGACCTTGGAAGAGACCTGAGGTTGGTTTGTGGATGTGGTGGCAGCCTGTGAATTATGTGAAGGCCAGGAGGAGGATATCTGAAATCAGACAGGTCATCATGGCCTCAGATGGGGACAGGGCTGGCCCCTAGCACAGGGGAACGCAACACTGAGAGAGCGCCCGGACATGGGGGGGTGCTGGCGTGGTTTTGCATACTCCCACGGGGTCCTGGTCAGCCAGGAGCAGTGTCTGCATTCACCTGGTGTTTCTCCTGCACAAAACAGAAGAGAAGCAAACACAAAATTCATCTCATGTTCAAATTATTCCCAGTACTTGTATCTCATTTAGACAGACGTCTTGTTCAAAATAAGCATTCTAGCAGAACTGACTCTGCAGCATGAATTTCCACAAACTGCTTCTCTAAGTTGAGGGTGTACTATGCATTCATAGAGATCACTAAATTTCCCTCTGAAAGGTGGTACAAGTTTATCTTTCTGCCTTGGGTGTTTGATTGTTTTTCTGAGACGGAGTCTCACTCTGTCACCCAGGCTGGAGTGCAGTGGCGCAATCTCGGCTCACTGCAGCCTCCGCCTCCCAGGCTCAAGCAATTTTCCTGCTTCAGCCTCCCAAGTAACTGGGACTACAGGCACGCGCCACCACACCTGGGTTATTTTTGTGTTTTTAGTAGAGGTAGGATTTCACCGTGTTGGCCAGGCTGGTCTTGAACTCCTGACCTCAGGTGATCTGCCTGCCTCGGCCTCCCAAAGTGCTGGGATTACAGGCGTGAGCCACTGCGCCTGGTCTTGCCTTCCATGTTTGAGAGCACCAGTTCCCCACACCCTCATCGGAAATCCCAGCCTCTTCTGTCTGCGTAGTCAGATGAGCAGAAGATGGCTGTGGCACTGTTTTAAATTGTTTCTTTAAACATCAGTCAGTTCGGTCATTGTTTCTTTTCTTCTTTATTTATTTTAGATAAGATCTTGCTCTGTTGCCCAGGCTGGAGTATGCACTGTCATGGTCGTAGCTTACTGCAGCCTTGAGGTCGTGGGCCTAAGCAATCCTCTTGCCTCAGCCTCCCAAGTAACTAGGACTACAGGAAGGTGTCACTATGCCTACATAATGTTTACATTTTTTTTTTTTTTAATCATTTCTCAGCCTTTTGGCTAAGATCAAGTGTAAAATTTTTTGTAGAGATAGGGTCTCACTGTATTGCCCAGGCTGGCCTTGAACTCCTGGGCTGAAGCCAGTCTCCTGCCTCAGCCTCCCAAAGTGCTGGGATTACAGGCATGAGCCATCATGCCCAGCCTAAATTGTTTCTCTAAACTTCAGTCAATGTGGTCGTCGTTCTGTCTGTATGCAGATGGATCATTTCTATTTATTATCTGAACTGAGTGGCCTTTGCTCATTTTTAAGTTTTGCTTTTTAGTGGCTTTTGATGACTTTTTGGAAGGGTGGTGTTTTTATCCCCTGCAGTTTAGGTGCCACTGGTGCCAAGATTTAAAACTTGCTTCCCTTCTCACAGGCTGCAGTGGGCGCAGAGGGGCGGGAGGTGCCAGCGCAGGGACTCCTCCTGCTTTGCAGCCGTGGAGTGGGACTCTGGAAGCCACGCCATATTATCTGGGAGGCCCCGGCTCCACTGCCTCTTGTTCTGTGACAGTCTTGGGTGTAAAATTGATAAGGACATATTTCTAACAGCCATCTCGGTTTTGCTGGCCCATTTCTGCCTTCCAACCTGGATTCCCTTTGGTCCTCTTGTTGCTTTAAGCTCTGGATCAGGCCATTTTCCTTGGGTCTCAGTGACTCTGGGCCAATAGGTGCCTCGGCTTGGAAGTCCCTTCCCTTCACGGCCCAGCGCTCCCCCGTTCCATACTCCCCATTTCCCTTCGGAAGGCCTGGGGTTCGCCCCTGACGTTGTACTTCCCCAGTCCACCCCTGATTCCAGCCAGCCTCACACCTCCCTGCCTCCTCTGCTCGTGGACACTGCTGGGTGTCCCTCCTCGAGACCCCCCCGTACTCCTGGAGAGGCCCTGCCCATGGCTGGGGCTCAGGCCGTGCTGGGCAGCAAGATGCACACGTGAGCAGACAGTCCTGTGGGCTCCTCCGGCAGGTGCTCTTTCCTGAGCGTCATCCCGTCCCCTTCACAGAGGGCTGCCTGAGTGTCCCAGCCCAGGGCATAGCACTCCTTGGCTAATGACTTGTTTTCCCTTTCCTGAAAACTGGCAGAAGGAGCAGCTGAACACGAGGGGCCGACCGTTCCGAGGCATGTCCGAAGAGGAGGTGTTCACTGAGGTGGCCAACCTCTTCCGGGGCCAGGAGGACCTGCTCTCCGAGTTTGGACAATTCCTGCCCGAAGCCAAGCGGTCTCTGGTGAGTGCAGAGAGCCCCTGCCTAGCTTCGGGGGCCTCAGTGAGGAGGGAGGGCTCCAGCCAGCTTGACCCAGGGCTGGGCCAGGCCCATCCACCCTCCAGGCCACAGTTGGGGTCCCCCAGAAGCTACGCAGGTTGCAATACCCAGGGGTTCCTCACTGTAGGCTCCACCTGCCCAGCAAGCTCGTAAACGATTCTCCAAGGTGCTTCTCTGTACAGACAGTACCCGGGTCTTGGGGTGGTTTGGGAAGCAGAGAGCATGTTCCAAAGGAGATGATGGGCCCAGGGGTTCCACCTCCTGTGCCTGCTCTGCAGAGCCCCACCCTGCCTGGGAGCCCAGCCCTGTGGGAAGGTGCAGGAGGGCTGGGTCCCCCACCATCGCTTCCCCTGTTGGGTAAGACCGATCTGGAGCTCCAGCAGGTTGGATCTGGAAGAGCCAGTAGCGGGGGTGGCCTGTGGCCTGGCCCTGACCATGATGGTAGAGAGCAGAGATGGGCGAGGAGGGGCCTTAGACAGGGAGGCTCAGGGCTCACCCTGCACGGTCAGCCTTTCTGCCCTGCCTGTGGCCTGAAGCTGCCAGGGCTGCCTGTTCCAGTTCCTCTTTTTTCCCCCCACTGTGAACATAAGACTTTTAAAAAAATTGAAGTGACATTTATGTAACATCAAATTCACCTTTGAAAGTGAACAATCCATGGCATGTAGTACATCCTCAGTGTTGTACAACCTTCACCACTACCTAGTTCTAGAACATTTTCGTCCCCTTGAAAGGAGACCCCATCTCCATCAGCAGCCACCCCTTTCCCCTCCCCCAGCTCCTGGCAACTGCCCATGTGCTTCCTGTCTCTGTGAATTTGATTCGCCCATTCTGGACATTTCAGATTGGTGGAATCTCACCCTATGTGGCCTTTGTGTCTGGCTTCTCTCACTCAGCATCATGTTTTCAAGGTTCATCCATGTATTACCATGGTTCAGTGCTCATTCCTTTTCCTGGCTGAATCATACTCTGTTGGATGGATGAGCCACATTCTGTTTATCCGTATTCTGTTGATGGACATTTGGGTTGTGTCTGCCTTTTGGCTGTTGTGAACAGTGCCGCCATCAACATTCGTTACAAGGATTTGTTTGAACACCTGTTTTCAGTTCTTTTGGGTAGACACCTAGGAGTGGAATTGTTGGGTCACATGGTAATTCTGTGTTTGACTTTTTGAAGAGCCTCCAAACTGTTTTCTTCAGTGACCGCACCATTTTACATTCCCATCAGCAATGGACTGCGGTTTCTGTCTCTCCACATCTTGGCCAACATTTGTTCTTTTCCAGGTTTTTTTCTTTTTTTGCCTTTTTTTTTTTTTTAGTAGCCATTAGTGTGTGAAGTTTTATTGCATTAAAGTTTGTTTGTTTTTATTTTTTGAGACAAGCTCTCTCTCTGTCACCCAGGCTGGAGTGCAGTGGCATGATTGATCACAGTTCACTGCAACCTCCATCTCCCAGGCTCAGGTGATCCTCCCACCTCAGCCTCCTGAGTAGCTAGGACTACAGGGACCACCACGATGCCAGGCCAATTTTTGTATTTTTTGTAGAGACAGGGATTCGCCATGTTGCCCAGACTGGTCTCGAGCTCCTGGCCTCAAGCGATCCACCTGCCTCAGTCTCCCAAAGTGCTGGGATTACAGGTGTGAGCCACTGTGCCTGGCCTGCTTTTATTTTTTAATTGTAGAGACAGGGTCTCACAGTGTTGCCCAGGTTGGTCTCAGACTCCTGGCCTCAAGCGATCCTCCCACCTCGGCCTCCCAAAGTGTTAAGATTACAGGCATGTGCCATTGTGCCCAGTCCATGGTTTCTTTAAGTGGCATTTATGCAGGGCGCCCGGCTAGCTCAGTCAGTAGAGCATGAGACTCTTAAATAACATTTGTTACCAATTTAAGATTTTTAGTGTGTATTGGATTCTTAGAGCCATCTTGTACATTTAGAAAGATGGGATCAACTTTTTAAAATTATTAAAAGCACTGCAGCATCTGTTGCGTGAAGTATAATCTTTATGTTAACTTTTGGATGTATATTAAAACTGTAGGAAAAAGAAACCAAGATGAAATTTGGCATTGCCCTAATTAAATTTGACTGGCCTGGATCAGAGGTTGGCAAACCTTTTCTACAAAGGGCCAGATAGTAAATATCACAGGCTTTGCAGGCCAGCTGATCTCCGTGTAAAGACTCACCTCTGCCCTAGTAGCTTGAAAGCAGTCATGGAATATATATGTCAATGATTGGGCAGGGCCATGTGACAATAAAACTTTATTTACAAAATGAATGGGTATGACTGGGTACCAACAAAACTTTATTTACAAAATGAATGGGCATGACTGGGTACCAGTAAGTCTTTACAAAAGGAATGGGTGTGGCTAGGTGCTGATAAAATTTTATTTATGAAAACACACCCTATGTTAATTGCCATTCTCTAGCCTAGGTGGTCTTTGGGGGTCCATCTAGCTCAGATGTTCACATGATTGGGAGATTAGCTGAAAAGCAAGAACCATGTGAACCGTTGGGGAAGATCTGCTATACCTGCTTGGTGAACTTGGCTGGACGCATGGCAGGTTTCCCCTCCAGGTCCCCCGTTCTTGTTCAGCATTTGTCATATGGTTGCCCAGCTGCATCTTTTGGGAATCAGTTTGCAACTGTTCCAGCATCTACAAAAAATCGCTGCGCGTGGTGGCTCGTGCCTGTAATCCCAGCTACTCGAAAGGCTGAGGCAAGAGAATTACTTGAACCCAGGAGACAGAGGTTGCGGTGAGCTGAGATCGCACCACTGCACTCTAGCCTGGGTGACAGAGCGAGACTCCATCTCAAAAAAAAAAAAAAAAAAAAAGATGTACCAGTGGAGAATTGTTGTGTAGATGCCAATGTCTCCACTTACAGCTCTCAAAATAACCTTGAGTTTTGGGTAATTATTCCCCCCAAATAAGTTTAATTCTTCTGAGTCTTGGCTGTGGCTAAATAGTAAGTCTTTATTAGTAGTAGTAGTATTGTGGCTAAATAATGTCTTTATTATTATTGTAAAAATAGTATACACTAATGAAAAAGTAAGTATTAGCAGGAGTATCAAATTTTTAATGCAAACTTCCTCTCCCTTGACTCAGTTCTGTTCAGAGGTTAGCACTTCTAAGTGTCTTATATCTTTCCAGAAATTTCCTTTGCATGTGTAACAAATACTTTTTACAGAGTAACACACGACATCCTGTTTGTTCTGCCCCTTGGCTTTTTGGGTTTTTTCCTTATTTATTTATTTTTGTTGTTGTTGTTTGTTTGTTTTATTTCTGGTATACCCGTCTCTAACAGCAGCCCAGAGCCAGCTCATGGTATCTGATCGCTGCTGGCTGATTTGTTCAGATGCACCATGACTTGTCCACCTCACCCACACTTTAGGTCTTTAGAGGTGTCTTTTTGTGCCGGTCCTGTGGTGGCAGGGGAAGGGGGAGTACGATGGAGGTGACCGCAGTAGCACAGAACCTTGTAGGGCCTCTCCAGCCTTGCCCACATCCTGCAGAAAAGCTGCGGTCTGTCCATCGTTCCCTGCCCGTCCAGCCTTCCAGTATGTTCATAATAGACTGTTGCAAAACAGTTCTTTGTAATGTCATTGGCACCCTGTAGGCACCCTTCTCGGGACAAGCATCCTTGACCTGTTAGCCGATGGCTGGTGTAGAGCCTGGGAGGCAGGCCCCAAACCAGTCACGAGCCCCACTGCGCTCCCAGCAAGTGACGACATCATCCCCCAGAAATGTTTTCTCATTCATAGAAAAGACTTCAAAACCTGGCCCCAAGGCCCCCACCAGTGCCCTGGCGAAAATCAGCCACTTCCCCTTGCTGCCTGTTTCTCTCACTGCACCTTGTGTTTCTGTGGCACTGGCATGCACGCGGCGAGGTGCCCCACCAGTGGCTCGCCACATGAGCCCCTGCATGGGAAGACCCAACTCAGGTGTCTCCCTCCTGAAACCCCTGGCCCCTCTCCCTCCCTCACCCATAAAGGCCTCACAGGAACCTTCTCCCAGCCTGGCAGTGTTAGTCTGTGAAGATTCGGTTACCTTGGAATGTGAGCGTCTTGCTGGAGTCACCTCACGCACTGACGGAGCATCTGGCCTGGCGCCTGTGGCCACCAGTGCCCGCCGGGCTGTGGGCTGAGCTGGAAGCAGCTCTGCATGCTCTGGTGCATGGGCCCAGCCATGTCTCCGGTGCTGACCACCTCCCACGTGTGTCCTCAGTTTACAGGGAACGGGCCATGCGAGATGCACAGTGTGCAGAAGAACGAGCACGACAAGACCCCAGAGCACAGCAGGAAGCGCTCCCGGCCCTCGCTCCTCCGCCCCGTGTCTGCACCCGCCAAGGTACCCGTCAGCCGCGCACAGCCGTGCTCACATGCAGGGGCCCCAGCAAATCGGGCCTTCCCAGCAGGTGGCCAGGGAACAGAGGCCCCAGCAGGGGTTTGGGGCTGGACCTGGGGCTGTGTGAGATTCACCAGCGGTGGGACCTTTGGAAGTCGGCTCTCCTCTAAGGTGGCTGTTCATCCGTTCTCCCTGTCCCATGAGATTATTGTGAAGAAGAGGAGGAAGGAGTGTTACCCCCGCCCTAGGTCCCAAGAAACACGGTGTACCACTCAGTCTCCTTTTCACCCTCGGGACTGTCTCACAGGCGAGGCCACCATGCACGTTTGTTCAGGTTGGTCACTGCAGAGCTGAGGGCAGAGATCCTGTCACGCCCTTCACCTGCAGTGGTGGTTTTCCGATTCCATTATTCCTCGTGCGGTTACTACTTGGCTTTCTACTATTGGTGGGAACTTCCTCGTTCTCCCATTTATTTAGTTATGTGTATTAGATATGGACTCTGGGTTATAATCCGTTCTAGTGTTGATGTCCATGCTGTTCCACATTTGGCCGGTAGGGTCCCTTTGGCTCCTGTGTCCTTTTGGCATGTCCTCATCATTCTTTCTTTGGTGGGGGAATGGGCTTTCACTCCGCCACCCAGGCTGGAGTGCAGTGGCACAGTCAGCCTTGACTTCTGGGCTCTAGCTGTCCTCTCACCTCAGCCTTCCAAGTAGCTGGGACCACAGGTGTGCACCACCACACCTTTTTGTAGAGATGAGGTTTCACCATGTTGGCCAGGCTGGTCTCAAACTCTTGGGCTCAAACAGTCCTCCCACCTCAGCCTCCCAAAGTGTTGGGATTACAGGCGTGAACCCCTGCACCCAGCTCATCCCCATTCTTCAGGCACTTTGGAGATAGTTCTGGATGGACAGTGTTGTCCTTCTTGCCATGATTGTGTGTCCAAGTTCAGGTCCAAGTCCAGCTTAGAGACAAAAGCCTGCAGAGACTCAACACTTGGCTTCTCCAGGGTCTTCCCAGTGCAACCCTCTTCCTGTCCGCTTCTTGTTGCTGTCTTGGCCCTCAGGACAAAACAGGGAGAGGATTCTGAGGTTGTCGTAGCCAGGGGCACATCTCCCTTGCCGTTTGGATGCTGTGGCAGTCTTGCCTGTTACCCAAAGCCCTACCCTCTGAGATGGAGATCCCAGATTTGGCAGTGGCAGGTAGCTGCAGAGGTGTCATCTCGGGGATCCTGGTAACTGGGAGGCTCCTGTCTATCCCTCACTGAGCACCTTGTGGCAGTTCCCAAAGGAAAGCACGGTCTTAGCCTTCTTGTGACTCTGTGACAGCGATGGATAGAGGCCACCGGTGGGAGGCAGAGTTAACTGCGTGGAATTTCTCCCCACAGAAAAAAATGAAACTTCGTGGTACCAAAGACCTGTCCATCGCTGCGGTGGGGAAGTACGGGACTCTGCAGGAGTTTTCTTTCTTTGACAAGGTGAGGGTGGGCCCTGGCTTCCATCTCAGGGATGCCATGTCCAGCTGGGTGGGCTGATGCTCCCTGGGCCTGCCCCAGGACTGGGGGAGGGGGGCAGGTAAGGTGGGTGCACTCTGAGGATGGAACAGATGGGACCAGGAGGATGGGGCTGGCCCCCAGCTTTCACTGCAGAAGGGAGTGTGGGCCACCTGGAAGCCCAGGCGTGGGGTGTGGGCGGGAGTCCACAGTGGGTGCTGAGAGTCCAAGCAGAGTATGAAGACATACACGTCTGCCACCTGCAGCTGTGTAGCTTTTTTGTGTATCAGGGATGATTGTGGGGTTCCCGCCCAGGGTCTGTGGGCAGAGCAAACAAGGTGGCTGTGTACATGGGCTGAGTTGCTGCACAGATCGCGTGCACAGACTGTGTGAATAGCTGCAAGGACTGCGTGCACAAACTGTGAATTGCTGCACAGAGTGCTTTCACAGACTGTGTGAATTGCATGGATTGCTTGCGTGGACTGTGAATTGCTGCACGATTGCGTGCACAGGCTGTGTGATTTGCTGCACGGATGGCGTGCACGGTCTGTGTGAATTGCACAGATCGTGTGCACAAACTGTGAATTGCTGCACGGATTGCATGCACAGACTGTGTGAATTCCTGTGTAGATCGTGTGCCCAAACTGTGTGAATTGCTGCACAGATGGCGTGTATGGGCTATGAATTGCAGCATGGATCTTGTGCCCATGCTGTGTGAATTGCTACACAGATTACGCGCATGGGATGTGAATTGCTGCACAGATTGTGTGCACAGGCCGTGAATTGGTGCATGGATTGCGTGCATGGGCTGTGTGAATTGCAGCACAGATCTCATTTACTTACAGACACAGCTGATTCCCATATCGCACACCCATGTGTGTGCAAACACTCACTTCCAAGTGAGCCAGGCCCAGAGGCTGAGGAGCGGGGGTTCACAGTGGTCCCTGACTGCTCTCTCCGCAGGTGCGCCGGGTGCTGAAGAGCCAGGAGGTGTACGAAAACTTCCTCCGCTGCATCGCACTCTTCAACCAGGAGCTGGTGTCTGGCTCCGAGCTCCTGCAGCTCGTCAGCCCATTTTTGGGGTGAGCAGCTGACTTCCCGGGGCTCCCCTTGGGGGTTCTGTTCCTGTCAACTCCATCTACTTGGTTTTTAGTTACTTTGTGCTTTACTAAAGTCCTGTTTATTAATTGACATGATTGAGATAATTATCAATTCCTATGCATTTGTAAGGAGCGATAGACCACCTGGGTATCCTCCAGCTGGTTCCTTTAACAGTAACATCTGTAGTCAGTATCCTCACCAGAATACAGGGTCCTCGAATAATGCCTTTTCATTTAACACTGTTGTAACACCGATGAGAAGAAAACATTGATTTCTGGTCTGAGTGGATTTTGCACGTTCTCCCCATGTCTGTGTGGATTTTCTCCCGCATCCCAAAGATGTGCATGTTAGGTTAAGTGTAGGTGAAGCGGTGAGTCTCCGTGGCCCCAGCCTGAGTGAGTGTGGCGGGGTGAGTGCCCTGCAGTGAGCTGGCATCCTGTCCAGGGTGGGTGCCCCCCTGGTGCTCTGAGCTGCTGGGATGGTGTCCGGCCACCCAAGACCCTGAATTGGGATAATTGGGTAAATCATTATTTTACTTGTTTTTATTCATCTTTTTTATGTGTACGTGTGGCTTGCATTCATTTCAGTGTTTAATTTTAGAAGTGTTTTGATCTCTCTTTAGAAATTTGATGATGGTTTTGTGACCAGAAATATGCTGTAGGAACTTCATTCTTGTTTATGTGTGAATTAGCTTGTGGCAAAATTGGTTTTGTTACACATCTTTTCACTTAAAGTCACAGCTTCCTAAAACCTGTTGATATGTTGAGTGAGGACTTCCTGTATTGACTCTCACACAACCCCCCGATCTTTCCAGACTCTCCATGTTACTCGTACACGTCTGGTGTGTGTGTTTTTATACAACTTTCTCACTGTGAAGGGTCGTGTATCCGCGGCAGTGAGGATCCTGAATAGCTCCAGGACTGTCAGGGTTCTTCTGGCCTTGACCTTTTATCTCCATCCCAAAACCCTGCCTCAGCTGGAGTCTGTTCAAACCCCTGGCAGCCACTTATCTGTTCTCTAGACACTGATGTTACAGTAACGGAACTGTACAGGAGGAACCCTCTGGGAGAAACTTTTTTTTTCCCCCCAGCATAATTCCCTGGAGATTCACCTGTTAAATACTTTTAAAAATTCTAACACTTGGGCCAGGCGCAGCGGCTCATGCCTGTAATCCCAGCACTTTGGGAGGCTGAGGTGGGCGGATCGCCTGAGCTCAGGAGTTCGAGACAAGCCTGGCCAACATGGTGAAACTCCATCTCTACTAAAAATACAAAAATTAGCCGGGCGTGGTGGTGGGCACCTGTAATCCCAGCTACTTGGGAGGCTAAGGCAGGAGAATCGCTTGAACCCAGGAGGCGGAGGTTGCAGCGAGCCAAGATTGCGCCATTGTACTCCGCCTGGGCGACAAGAGCGAGACTTCGTCTCAAAAAAAAAAAAAAAAAATTCTAACACCTGGGTCGGGCTCGGATTGGGTACGGTGGCTCACACCTGTAATCCCAACATTTTGGGAGGCCAAGGTGGGTGGATCACTTGAGGTCAGGAATTAGAGACCAGTCTGGGCAACATGGCCAAACCCTGTCTACTAAAAAATATAAAAATTAGTGGGGGTGGTGGCACACGCCCCTTGGCCCAGCTACTTGGGAGGCTCAGCTGGAAGGATAGCTTGAACCTGGGAGGTCAAGGCTGCAGTGAGCTGTGATCACGCCACTGTACTCTAGCCTGGGTGACAGGGTGAGACCCTGTATCCAAAAAAAAAAAAAAAAAAATTAACACCTCTGTTGCACAAAGGGAAGCCTCATTAGTGGGTCAGGTCTAAGAGCAGCTTCTAACCCCTGGTGGCCAGGTCAGCCTCAGGAGGGGACTGGGACTGGGTGGAGGGGCCTGGGAGCAGCTATGTACACTCGTGTCTGCTCTTGGGCTCACAGGAGCGTGCACAGTAGGGGTAGGTGGGCTTGTGAGCGCTGTGTGAGACCTGGGAGCCAGCCGGGGCCAGTGTTGCTTCCTGCACATCAGCCCTGTGACTGGGGTGCGTCACTTGGGCAGTCGGAGCCTCTGTTTCCTTGCTGTAAAATGGGGATAGTGAATGTACCGACCTACGTGGAGTTCTCGAGAGCTGCAGGTGGGTACTACCTGCAGGGCCCTTCAAATACAATAGAATCTCACCAATAAAAGGAAAAGAGAGGTTTTTTCCGGCAGAAGGAAATGACGTAAGTCACAAACTTGGATCGACCTAAAGAAAGGAAGAGCATCGAGAAAAATTAACACGTGAAGTTTTTTTTTTTCAAGACAGAGTCTTGCTCTGTTGCCCAGGCTGGAGTGCAGTGGCGTGATCTTGGCTCGCCGCAACCTCCACCTCCCGGGTTCAAGCGATTCTCCTGCCTCATCCTCCCGAGTAGCTGGGATTACACCACCATACCTGGCGAATTTTTGTGTTTTTAGTAGAGGTGGGGTTTTGCCATGTTGGCCAGGCTAGTGTCGAACTCCTGACCTCAAGCGGTCTGCCTGCCTCGGTCTCCCAAAGTGCTGAGATTATGGGCATGAGCCGCCATGCCTGGCCATGATTCTTTTTTTCAATGGTTCTCGCACATGGTGGGTGCACATGTTACGTGATCAGCCCATTCAGTCCTTCCTTAACCCTTTTTCCATTTACTCCAAGGATAGTGGTTGATGGCACTTGAGGCTGCAGCGTTTACCCCGAGATAACTTTGCCATGAAGCATCGCATTTTTATTACTATTTTTGCATTGCTCTCATATCAACTTTGGAAATAAAAGATACCATTTTATGTGTAGCATTCTGCTTTTAGTAGTGATATTTCCAGTTACAAAATATAGTAATTCTTGATCACTGAAAATGTCAAATCTTGGAAAATATAGCATTCCTACGTTTGATGTTAACATTGTTCTCAAACAGTTGTTTGCCAAAGATTCATTTGATGAATCTGACTGTTCCAAAATAGACGATTCTGGTGATTCAGATGATTCTGATGTTCTGTTTAGAAATAACTCCAAGAACAGTTTTTATATTTTACTTTCACATTGAAAATCAGATTTGCTTCAGCTTCAAAGAGTGTGTTTATGTAAAATTAAATGAGCACTGGCAGTTAAGTTGGACTTTTTTTTTTTTTTTCTAAATGGGAAAAAGTTAAATCAACCCTGAGGACAGGTGCTGTGTGAGCCCTTTTGCGTTAACTTAAAAAATATACATGTGTGTGTGTATACATTCGTTCGTTTGTTTTGAGACAGTTTGCTCTGTTGCCCAGGCTAGAACTAATGGAAAATAGGTTCAAGGCTGCAGTGAGCTGTGATCAGGCCAGTGTACTCTAGCCTGGGTGACAGAGTGAGACCCTGTATCAAAAAAAAAAATTACTCTGTTGCACAAAGAGAAGCCTCATTAGCGGGTCAGGTCTAACAGCAGCTTCTAACCCCTGGTGGCCAGGTCAGCCTCAGGAGGGGACTGGGACTGGGTGGAGGGGCCTGGGAGCAGTGGTAATATAATGTAAAATAAAGCACAGACCCAAGAACCCATATGGCCGACAAATGGCTTGAACCTTTATTAAGCAGTCACCCATTTGCCCACCACCCCCCTCAAAAACAGACTCCAGGAGCCCCCCATGTACTGTTCCAGTCCCTGCTCATCTCACTGCAAGAGTGTCCTGACTTTAGGAGTGACCACCTCCTGCACTAATGAAGGTGCAGCCACCCAGGTGGGCACCAAATACATGGCTCAGTCTCACCCCCATCCGGGTTTGGTCTTCCTTCCTTCCTTCCTTCCTTCCTTCCTTCCTTCCTTCCTTCCTTCCTTCCTTCCTTC